TTTTTCTCTTGGGGTATGGTTTCTCTACTTTCACCATTGTGTAATATAATCTTGTTATATGGTATATTTTCTCAATACCGAGTGATGGCTCCAGATCCACGAAAAATAAAGGTAGGGGAACTTTATTTTTTACTCCAGGCTGCTCCTTATTATCCTTCATAACGTTGGTTACCTGACGTATTTTGAAACCAAGCGCCGCTAGTTCATCTTTTATCACCTCAGTTGGGGTTGAGGAGTGTAAATTTCTTATTACTACTCGTAACGATCTCTCTTGCCTAAGCTGGTACGTATGAAAATCCACATTCGCTTCTGAGAGGTACTTTACTATTAATCGGTAGGTTTCAGCAGTATCTGGTTTTATTTTTGTATCGTTGGTCCTGTTAAGGCATGAATAACTGCCAGAGCAGATTTTATTTAGTTGGGTGCAGAACAACTGGAAATATTTGATATTTTAAACAAATATCGCAGGAGGCCTTGGTTCTGTTGGTATAGCTGCAGACCCCATTACCTCTCGGCCATTTTGAAGCACTTGGTAGGGGTTTGGAGTAAAGAAAGGGGATTATTCGATCATTTCTTGCGAAAAAGTTTCTGGTGGTGGCTGAGGTTCTTGTTCTGAAGTGTTCACTTTTGTTGTTGGAGATGTTTCTCGTAGGAAGCGACGAGTTCTTCGTTTGGCTGGTGAACTAACTCCGTCTGACCGAGTCCTCTTGGGTACCTTACTGGACATCACTTAGTGACTAAACCGCATACAATAAGAGAAGAAAGAAAGAAAAAGAAAAAAAAATTATAAAAAAATATATCAAACAGCAAATATCAACTGCTCTGATCTATAAGTGAAATGTATTCAGTGAAAAATCACAGAGATTCCGCTGAAAAATAAGCAAATACTGCATGATAGCAATACTGTTATTGTACACCACTCCCTTTCTCATCACCAACTCCCATAACTGACACAAGATTTCCTACAATCCACCGCTATCATCATAGCATCAGCATATTGCCATCCTAACAGATCCATATCCAATATCCAGTTCAGTTATCTTCTCAACTCCTTAGGACATCATTTCATCCTGGGTGGAGATTTAAACGCCAAACACCATCAATGGGGTTCTAGAACCTCGAACTCTCGTGGCAGAACATTGCTATCTGCGCTCAATTCCCAACGTTTCAGTATCAATTCCTCCTAACTCACCTACCTACTGGTCACAGATCCTAACCACAATCCCTATATCCTTGATTTGTTCATCCACTGTGGCCTAGATCCCCTCAATCATTCCCTTACCCGTCTTGCCGAACTATCCTCAGATCATAGTCCATTATTACTCCTATCATCTCTAGCTCCTATTCCTAAGTCTTCTCCACCGTCCTTTATCAGAGGCCCAGTTAACTGGAAACTCTTTCACCAAATTATTTCCGATAAAATTGACCTCAGAATAACCTTAACAATCCCAGAAGACCTTGATAATGCCGTACACTTTTTTACCAACACTATCCAACAAGCGATTTGGACTGTTCCTCTCCAATCCACTGCTCAAGGAATCAGAAGAAAAATAAGATACCTCAACACCTCATACACCTAATCCACACCAAACGTCGTGCCAGATTATTATGGCAATGTACTAGACACCCCACCGATCGTCAATCCTATAATTATTTCTGCAAACAATTAAAGCTAGAATTGGCCACCTTCAGATCCCAATCCTTCAACTCCAACCTTATTTCCCTCTCTTCTCATGACAATTCCCTATCACTAAACAAATCCTAAAACCCCATCATATATCCCAAAAAAACTTCTAGTGATGGTTCTTGGGCAGCATCTGACGAAGATAGAGCCGAGGAATGCGCCAAACACCTTTCCCTTACATTCACCTCATCCGGAATCTAACCCCACCCACACCTCAGCATTAGAGGAATTCCTTAATTCACCCATCCCACTATCCTTACCGCCTAAAGCAGTTAATCCTTCTGAAATCAAGTACCACTTACAAAAACTACCTACCCGCAAATCATCTGGATGCGACCTGCTTACCTCTCAGATTCTTAGACATCTCTCACCTAAAGCTGTCATATACCTTACATACATATACAACAGCATCCTACGAACCACCCACTTTCCTCTTTATGGAAACGTTCTACTATTATCCTATTCCCAAAATCAGGCAAACCTCCCAATAGCTTAACTTCCTACAGACCCATTAGCCTACTTCCAATCCTTTCAAAAATCCTTGAAAAGATCCTCCTAAAAAGAAGCCTACCCTTTATAGAATCTCAAAATCTTCCTTCACACCAGTTTGGATTCCGTTCCCAACACTCCACAGTCCAATAAGGACTTAGAGTGGTCGATCATATTCCCGCAGCCCTGGAAAGCAATCAATATTTCTCGGGTGCATTTCAGGACATAGCACAAGATTTTGACCGAGTATGGCACGCTGGGCTTCTTTTCAAACTTAAAACCCATCTTCCTCAGTCCTAATACCTAATCCTCCATTCCTACCTTTCAGATCGTACCTTCCGAGTTCGTTGCGACACTGAATTTTGAAATTGCTATCCAATTGAGGCTGGTGTTCCTCAAGGTAGCGTATTGGGTCCCTTCTTGTATATCCTCTTTACCGCCGAATTTTCTATCCCGATACCTTCCTGGAAACTTTTGCTGATGACACCGCCATTCTATCATCCGATTCAGATCCTGATATAGCATCCTTAAACCTTAAAAGATACCTCTCCCTGATTGAGCACTGGCGTTATAAATGGCGTATTAAAGTAAATAAATCTAAATGCCAACACTTCACACTCCGACGCAGTTTCTGTCCAGCAGTACACTGTGATTCCATCCAGCTTCCTTTCTCAGACACAGTTCGGTACCTTGGTTTTCTCTTGGACAGGCGACTAACGTGGAACCCTCATACTAGACTTAAAAGACAGGACCTTAACCGACGATACGGCCAACTATACATACTTCTAAATAGAAAATCTAAACTCTCTATTGAAAATAAAATACTTATCTACAAGACAATGCTGAAACCTACTTGGACTTACGGATTTGAACTTTGGGGAACAGCAAAATTTTCTAACATCAAACGCATCCAATTCTTCCAATCCGAAGTCCTTCGAACAATAGTCGATGCTCCTTTCTATGTAACCAACAAAACCCAACACCGTGACCTCATGACCATTTCTTATCATTTGCTTCTAATCCTTCTCCTACTCATGATATTGAACACCACACAATTTCAATCCTGAAAACTTCTTTTTTTCCCATGTGTCCTACGACGAAGTACTTTCCACTATCCTAAAATCCCACACCAATGATTATGGTCCAGACAATATTCCAGTAAAACTTATAAAATTCAGCCTTCCTACCCTTATTCCAGTACTTTATCATATCTACTACTTTTCATTGCAAAATTCCATAATCCCCTCTTCCTGGAAAACAGCACTATTCTCACCTTTAAATAAAACTTCTAACCCTTCCTCACTAAACGACTTCCGTCCTATTTCCCTTCTTTCCAACCTCTCAAAACCACTGGAACGTCTTATCCAAAAACAACTTTCCAACTTCCTAGAAGAACGTTCCCTCATCAACCCATTCCAATCTGGCTTTCGACCTGGTTACTCAACGCAATGTTCCCCCCTTAAAATAACCCATGACCTACAAAACTTCATTGAACACCAAAACCTTACTATCCTCATCCTTCTAGATTTTTCCAAAGCATTTGATACAGTTGACCATAACATTCTTCTTACAAAATTGCAAAATCTTCCTCTATCCAACAGTGTCCTGCGTTTGTTCAAATCCTTCCTTTCCGATCGATCCCAGTATGTAGTCGTCCCAGATCAACCTCCTTCAAAGACACTTCCCCTTTCCTGTGGTGTCCCTCAGGGTTCCTCCTTATTTCCAACTCCAATGTATCCAATATCTCCCGACGTACCTTTTCCACCCTAAAACACTTCCACCCTAAAAACGCGACACCTTTTTCCACTTGAAATCCGTAGACTCCTGGTCGCCTGCTTAATATTTCCCCACTTTGGCGATTGCTGCACGGTATATGGAGGCGTCTCTGGGGATCTCGAGGTGAAACTAAAACGTTTTATAAATCACTTTGTACGATTCATCTTCGGGGTCTCAAGGGCCTCCCCAGTTTCCTGTTTCTATGAAGAGTTGGAATGGCTTTATCCTTCCTACCGCCGTAAGTATTTCCTGGCATCCTTCCTCTTCCAAGTCATTCACTCCCGCCGTCCTTCATACATCTCCGAGCTCTTTCAATTTAAATCCTCTGTCCACTCCCGCAATACCCGTTCCCGGTCTTCAGATTTATATATAATGGCCCACCGAACCGCTGCTTTCGATAAATCTTTTATTATTCGATCCTCATCCCTATGGAACTCCATCCCTCCCGACATCCGTCGCTCCAATACTCTCCCTACTTTTAAATACCGCCTATTCAATCACTTTATTTCCATCCAGTTCCTCTAAAATTTTAAATAGAAACTTCCGTAAATCTGTTTATACATTATTAGTTCATTTCCAATTATTTTGATCTCATTGTTATTTCATTTATTTATTTTTTTCTTAGTCGATTTAATCTAGAAGATAACTTTTTTTTTTCTTTCTCCATTATATCTATTAGTTAACTTTGTAAATACATGTATATATATTTGAGGCTCAAAATCCCACAGTTATGTCCTTGTTAATTATTCTAAAGGGATTCGTCCCAGAATAAATAAAATATTATTATTATTATGCCTGGCAACGAGGGCTTAAGTATTGTTATACGTCTAGTATGCGGTATAAAATGAAATACTCTCGAAAAAATATTCTTGTATACTTTTCTTGGAATGTAACAGTTAAATAAGGATTAGTTCCATATGCTTAATTTCCATTATTGTGACATATCTCCTTTGGTAGAATAAAAACTACTGGTATATTGATTATTATAATCTGCATTTTCAGTTTCTTCTTTGGATTAAAATTTTGTGCCGCTCTTTTGGTATAGGGTTATCTTTTGACAATTTAAAAATGTTAATGGGAATGGTGCTATTTATTGTCAAAAGAAAATCAAAGTGTCCCTTTTCGTTTTTAAATTGTCAAATGCGCAGTTATATCAGTGATGCTGGTCTCAAAACAATCAGAAATATTGGAGTTCTAGCTCACATTGATGCTGGTGTGTTATTTTATTTTTTTCAGATTATTCTATTTTTCAATTATAATATTGAGGATCAAATTTTTTAAACCCTAAGAATTTTTAATAGTGTTCTGAGTGTTTATACCTGTTATCTCAATTATTCTGGTTTTAAGTTGACAAGAAGGTTTTTCAATATAATAATAATGCTGCATGGTTTACTTAATAGAAAAAAAAGAATACAGATTATTTCATTGTATCACATTTTTAATCTGTATAATAAACACTTAAGTGGTACCTCCAATTGAATATGTCCCAGTATATGAATGTTATGTATGATATGGTTTTAACTATTAATATTTTTAAAGTTGATCTTTATTTTAAGTTAATAATTGAAGTACTTATAGCAATAAATGATACGGTTCAATTATTCTTTGTTTCATATTCTTATAGGAAAAACTACCACTACTGAAAGGATGTTATATTATTCTGGCAGAATTAAAAGGATGGGTGAGGTACATAAGGGCACAACAGTTACTGATTTTATGGAACAAGAAAGAAATAGAGGTTTGAAATATCTATTAGTTTAATATAATTGTAAGATTGAGATGTTTTTGTTTTTTCTTCATTTCGCTTGATTTAAGTTGCTAGAAATTGTTGTTTTAACCATTTTGGGCTTACGGCTTTGAGGCCTAGACACTTACTAGCATCCTATATTAATGATAGGAAGCCAAATTGAATGATTTGAGAGAAAATGCTAATACTCAATAATCAGAGTAATCTATGATCTGAGAACTTACACATACATGGAGGAGAACCAATTAAGAACTGCTTAAAGAAACTAATCAGTCCTTATATCATGATATGAAGGGTTGGAGGTTTGGATGGGACAGGCTTATAGCTCCTAATAATCCATCAGGAAGTTTTGTAGAGGCTTCCTAAACAATATAGAAAGCCTTAATAGTTAGCCAAAGACCACAGGGGAGACCCAAAAACCAGATAGATAGATTCAGCCAACAAAGTGATTGTAGTGTAGAGCTGCATTCAGCAAATCAGTAGCATAAGATAGGAGTTGGCTAAAGGTGTAACGCAAACAGAAAAGAAAGAAAAGTGTATTATTTATAAGTATAAGTATGTATTATAATATACATAAAATAACAGTTTTTTTTTCTTTTCCGTTTGCTTTAGTTCTTTGACCACATAAAACAGCCTTTTTCTCTTACTATTTGATTATATTCTTATCCTACTTATAGTTTACTGCATACAGCTCTACAATATTTTTGTTTATTCTGCAATTATATATGAGGTGGAATATTTATTTATATAATCTCAATTCTTTCCAATCTCTCAAAACCTGTAGAAAGATTGTTGCAATCCCAAGTTTCCAATTTCCTTGAAAAGTTTTACCAACTTGTTCCTCTTCGATCTGGTTTCTATCCCAGCTATTTCACACAATCAGCCTTCATTAAAATTACCAGTGGTATTCAGACTAAAATAAACTATTATTATACTGTTTGACTTCTAGGATGCCTTCGATTCCATTAAACATTCCATTCTTTTCAATAAACTAAAATAATTATCCTTCTCCAATAGTTCCATCTCTTGATTTCAAGCTTTTCTCACACAACGTAACCAAGCAGTTTCCATACCCAATCAACCACTATCTGCCTACCTTTCATTATCCTCTGGAGTTGCCCAGGGTTCAAGCATATCTCCTCTCCTTTTTGAGCATATTCGACCTACATAATTCAATTCTCCACTATCTCCTTTTTTATGCAGACGATTCTCAAATCTATCTATCCTCTTCTCCCTCTGAGTTATTGGTAGAATTTCCCAAGATTCAAGAAGACCTAGATCGAATCAGTGCCTGGGCAAACGTAAACGGATTAAGGTCAAATGCTGCTAATACTCAGGCAATTGTTATTGGTTCCAAGCCCCTTCTTAGATCTCTTACCAACTTTCCCATACTATATCTAAATGACCATCCCATCACCTTCTTTTCCTCTGCCAAAAATTTAGATTTTTTCATTGTCAAACTCTTTCCTGGAATCACCATATCTCTCACATCCTCAATGGACAATTTCTACCCTCAAATTATTCCATAGCTCCCGCCATCTACCTCAACATACGTGCAGACTCCTAGTTTCCTCTCTCATCTTCCCCTACTTTGAATACAGCTGTGTGGTGTATGATGGCCTCTCGGTGGAGCTCCATGATAGACTGTAAAGACTAATGAACAGCTTCGTAAGATTTGTAATTGGGACGCTGATACATTCCCGTGTTTCTCACCACTGAACTGAGTTAAGTTGATTCTTCCCATCCTTCCAAAGATAATATTTCCTAGGCAAATTTCTCTATCAAATCATCAACAACCATCATCCTTCTTATAATAATAATAATAATACTTTATTTATTCTGGGACGAGTCCCTTTAGAATAATATAGAAAGACAGAAATGTGGGTTAAGGAGCCTCAGTGATACGTAAACAGTATGATAAGTAAATAAATAGTCATAATAAAAATAAAATAATTATAATAATGGACTGGGAGTTGGAAAAGCTGGAACCAAAACAAAACAGTCGAGAACTATCAAAAGTATATAATCGAAAGAAAAATTAAGCACCAAATACTAAGAAGGAAAAAGAGAATTCCTGCAGGCAGCTGGAAGAAATGGAAGAATGTTTCAGATGAAGCGATACTAGACTATTCTACAAGGCTTTTAATCAAAGAGTCAAAGGCTACATCCCCCCAGGAATAGTGCTAAAAAGAAAAGACGGAACACTGGCACAAACAAACGAGGAAAATTGCAACATACTGGCGGATTATTTTGAACAACTGCTGAACTGCGAGGAGCCCAAACAGAATGACTCCACATGACAACACCCTCCTGGAGATGGAATTGGACCCACCCGACGAGAAAGAAATAGAATAAATAATCGTGGGACTTAAAAACAATAAAGCATCTGGAGAGGATGGAGTATTGGCGGAAATGTGGAAAGTAACAGGTGATGAATTCAGGAAGATCACAGAATTGATGATGGACATCTGGATAGAGGAGAAAATCCCCAGAGAATGGAAAAACGTCTTGATACATCCACTGCATAAGAAAGGAACAAAAACAGAAGCTGACAACTACAGAGGAATTTCCCTACTACCCGTCAGCTACAAAATTTTCTCCAAAGCACTACTCAACAGACTAAACCCACAAATAGACTCTAAAATCGGAGAATATCAGGGAGGCTTCAGAAAGGGAAGATCATGTCAAGAACAAATCCTGAGCCTAAAATTATTGATAAAATACTACAAAACAAGGCCCAAAAAGAACCTCTACATCTCGTTTGTTGATTTTCAAAAAGCGTATGACTCAGTGGATAGAAAGACACTACTGGAAATACTGAGAGAATACGGAGTGGGCCAGAAGACCAGGAAACTAACAGAATTAACACTAACTGACACCGAATCCAAGATAAGATTCAGAGGAACCACCAGCAAATCTTTCCGGATAAGGATGAGACTCATACAAGGAGACAGTCTCTCCCCATCACTGTTCAACGTGGTACTAGATAGGATAATGAAGGAATTGTGGAAAACCAATGATGTGGGTGCAAGTATAGGGACCAAAAACAACCACGTCAAGGTAAGGTGTCTTGCCTACGCAGACGATCTTGCACTTTTAGCGGAAACGGAAGAAGAGGCAATCAACCAAATAAATACACTGACGGAAATAGCCAAAAAAGTGGGTCTCCAAATCTCCTACGAAAAAACAAAATTAATGACCACAGACGCAGACTTCAAGAAAAAAACAGTGGAAACCAAATATGGGTCAATAAATGTAACAAATAAATTTAAGTACCTGGGTGAGACTATATGTAATAATGGTTAGGAAAAAGAAAGTATCAAGGAAAGAATAGCCAAATTGGAAAAACTAACTTTTGCAACCAGTAACATATACAACAACAGAAACCTGTCCACGGAAGCAAAAATACGACACTACAATACAGTTGTTAAACCTGTGATACTATACGGTACGGAAACCACATGCCTCCCCAATCTGGAAAAATTGTTGAGAATAGAGCAAAGAATTCTAAGAAGGATTTACGGCCCCAAAAAGACAAAAGTAGGATACAGGCTTAGATCCAATCAGGAAATATACAAGGACAAAACAGATCTAGAAACGGAAATAAGGATCAGGAGACTGAAATTCCACGGACATATGGTAAGATTGGCCCCAGAAAGACTTAACAAGGAAATATTCCAAAAAATCTGTAGGTACAAAAGCTTGGGAGGATACATCAGGCAGATGAAGGAAGAAACGGAAAGACTTGGAATAACGGACCGGGACTGTCTGGAGAGAGAGGGGTATGGTAAGAGACTAAAGGAGATCACAGTTCTTGCTAAGAAGACAAGTTCGAGAAAGGGAGTCGTGTGGACGGAGGAGAGAAGTGGAAAGAAAGGAAAAACAAGAAAGAAGCCTAATGTCATGATATTCGCGTGGTCTCTATGGCCGTTCCGTGAAAAAAAAAAAATAATAATAATAATAATTATAACTTACTTTTTAACTTTAATCAGTTAATAATAAAAAATTGAAAAACCACGAAGTAAAAATAATTAAAAACAATCTAATAATTTATATGAATTATTGAAGGAAGTTGGAAGTTAATCGACTGTTCTACATATCATGGGTGATAAATATTCAGGATGCAGTCTTTTTTTTTAAAAAGTTTTAATTTTTTATTCATGCCAATGTTTCAACCCAAACATGTGGGTCATTTCAGTACTTGAACACCCTCAGTGCTCAAACCACGTCCTGAAGATGACCCACATGTTGTAACATTAGCATAAATAAAAAATTAAAATTTTTTTTAAAAAAAGACTGCATCCTAAAAATGGATGGAGTTCCATAGGTATCTGATAGTGAACGATCTGTTGAAAGCGGCGGTTCGATGGGCCCTATATTTTCAGCCAACCTCGCTACGTCCTTAATGTCGACACCTAGTTCCTCGAGGAAGCTCCTTGTTCTTTTTGGAATTGGAGACTCAAACCAGAGGCCTCTCACGGTGAACTCTCTCTCTCTCTCTCTCTCCGAAGGTCTCATGGAATTTTTCTTTTAGGAAAGGGATACATTTATCTATGTGTTCGTCTTTTCCCTTTCCACTTCACCAGCCTGATCGAGGTCATTGCTCTCGAAGCGGACAGTTGGATCTAAGAACAGCGCTGTCCTTCCTGTCTTGGGAAATGCAACAATATCCGCATATCTCGTTGAGCCTTCACTATCGATGCAATAGAGCTCTTCATAGTAGGTGAATTTCTTTTCCCTAAGGAGCCTCATCAACTCGAACTTGACCCTATGGTGACGACGTGTTATGAGGAGGGAGTTGTTGGGGCATTTTCCTAGCACATGGGCTGGTGTTTCTGACTCTCTGCCACATTTACAGCAGAGGGACTCAACTTCTCTGACCTGTCCGCTGACACCTGGGACTCCACGTAGGAGTGCATAGTTAATGTTTAGTTTTAGGACATTCGACCATTCAGACCCAGAAAGTACATGCTTTTCGTTGAGGTATTTATTCGCTTTCGGGGTCTCTTTAAAATGGCGAACACCAATGCCCTGCCACCTGCAGTTGGCCCATACCTCAAACGAATTTTCTCGTAGCGACTGCTGTAGAGCTCTCACATTTCAATGACCCTGACAAACCCTCAATCTATCATCACATTCAGCAACTTCAGCAGAATAATCAAAGGTAGATTGGAAAAGGGCATCTGGTACATTGGACAGTCGCTGAGCAATGGACCAATATGTCGTTCAGTATGGCTTTGTTGTGAGGGTCGCAGTTTGGAGAGGGTAAGTAAGACCTGGGAACAGATATTGATTGATAATGTTGAGTTTCTGCTCAGGTTTAAATAAGCAAGAAGTTACCAGCTTGTTTAGATTATCATTCAATTTAGTTGAATTATAGCTCTCCCGAGAATGTACATCCTAAATACTTAATCATATCTCCATTCTTCAATGTTTGGATGTACTCTTCATTCTCAAGGGAGGGCATCTCAGTTTCCAGCTCTCCTGTATTTAGAACGATGCCCATGCTTTTTTGAGGATTTATAGCCAAACCAATTTCTTGAATGTCCTTTGTACGCTGTCAATCACTCTTTCTGCAGCCCCATTGTCTCGTGCCGACACAGCCTGGTCAACCGCGAAACATGTGAGGACCACAAAATCTTGGTCATTTCTTAATTTATATCCAAATTTCTCGGAAAACTCTTGATCGCACAGGTCGCGGTAGAGATGGTCGATGGCCAGGTTGAAGAGCAAAGACGACAGGGGTCCAACTTGGGGTACACTGCTCAACACTTTGATCTGGCTAGTTGCATGGACGCCATTACTAATCTTTATAGTGTTCGTGCTAAGGAGAGCTGATATGACATTTTTAAGATTCGGTGACACACTTCTGCTTCTAAGGAGCTCACGATGTGTTTGTGGCCAACATTGTGAAAAGCACTGACAACATCAAGGAAAACTATTGCACAATCATTTTTCATTCTCTGTGCATCTTTTAATATTGCGTCGATAATCCTTGCGTTGACTAGCGTTCCCGAGAGGCCTTTTATAAAGCCTCTCTGATTCCTGTCGAAGGTGACCTGCTTTCTTAATTCGTGGTCCAGAACCTTCTCTATGATTCAACGCTCAATCGAATAGATGGTGATAGGTCTCCAGGTAGAGATATTGTTTATATCACCTTTGCCCTTATGTATTGATATTGTGCACCCCTGTCGAAGTGATTCTGGGACATAGGCCACTTTCAGCATTATCTCTGCAATCGTTTTGATAATATTTGATACGTCAAAATACTTAATTGTGCAGATCAGAACTCCATCAGGCCCCGGCGATGTGTCCATTGATGTTGATTTAAAGGCTTTCCTGATAACTTCTAGCTCAATGGACATCAAATTTGGCATCAAAGCACACTGTTCGTAATCCGCAGAGATTTTCGCTTTCAAAGAAGTCTTTATAGTGCCTCTCGATTTCAGCCATATTTAGAGGACACTGTTTAGGAGCGTCGGCATTCATACAGTTTGCACAACCTTTTTTCTTTTGTTGTAATAATTATATTGTGCAACCTCATACTGGTATTGTTCTTGCCGACGACCCCTATCTACTTTGTTTGCTCTCTGTGGATTTGAAACTTGTACAGCACTCTTGTCAACCATTTTCATTTTTTTTTTCCTCATCCTATAAAATTTGATGGCTGGGTCCTGGAAACCTGGCAGTTCCACATTGATAGCTTTGAAAAACTTGCCTTAGTATTTACCATATTTTGTTTTGATATGTTCTTGAACGTAGTAGACCATCCAGCAATGTCCTCTTTTATTTTTGATATTTCACCCTCTCCATTTCTAGGACCTATCACATTCTTCACTATGCCCCTCAGTGTATTGTTGTTCGCTTCCCTGGGATGTTTTTTTGCAATATGGATTCCAAGACCTCGTTCGCCCTTAAAAGAAAGCCCAAATATGGGACAAACTTTATCATCAGGACTTAGAACTTCATCTTGCTGCTCACTATTTGCCTCTGCAACATTCTGTGGACCATTTGGCAATCTGGGAAAGACATCATCTATCGATATCATCTTTCCCAATACCACACCTTCTGTGTCAGGCCATTCGACTTTAACAAATGTATTTTTGCCGCCTCCTGCTGTAGCCACAGACATTACAGAGGCAACAACCGCCTCTTGAACAGGTCTTCCAGTCCTCAGAACCCATACCTTTTGGCCAACTTTGATGATTTTCATTGATCTTTTGTTCATTGCAATATTATTTTTCATTCGAGACTATGCCCACCACGGGCTTGATTGAAACGATCTCTTAAAGGAGTGTGAAATGTATAATTAAATAAATAAGTAAAAAGTTAAAAGCTATAAAATCAATTGTTAAAAAAAATTAGTTGGAATATAAAATCAATGAAAGGTTAAAAAGTATAAATCTATCAAATAAATTGCCCATAAATAAGTTACAATATTGAATCGCTAAAAAGTTAAAAGTTAAAATTTAAAAAAATTAATTGCCTAAAAATAAATGAAAGATAAATCTAAAAAAATAATTACCTAAAATGAGTTACAATATAAAATCAATAAAATGTTAAAAACTTAAAATCTCAAAAATGAAATAAAAAAAACAATAAAAATAATAATTGCCTAAAATTCAGTTAAAAATTAAAACATAAAAAATGTAAGAAGTTGAAATCTAAAAAAAAATACAATATATAAACACATATCCACATCACATCAGTAAATTAAATATATCAACTAGAGTATATAATAAAATAGAATATAAACCATAAGATTATTAAAAAATTAAAATCTAAAAAGAAAATCAATTTCCCAATAATAAGTTACAAGATTTGTACATATATATAGGTCTACTTTAATAATTTGATTTAAAATGTCATAGAAATAATAAATTATGATAACAAACACTAAATTTTTTTAAAAAGTATTTTATGAGAGAAAGGGATCGAATATATAAACCAGGTAACAGTAAAATTAGTTGAGCTCCTTCAATGATTGTATCGATGACACGACGCTGACCTTACTGAAGGTGGCTGCTGAGAAGTGGTGGGGGCCGACAAGTATTAGGCTGCACAGCGATATGAACTCCGCTCCCACAAGTACATCAACTTCATTGCCTTCTGATCCTGGCCAATCTCGCTCAATTTTCATAAGATTTCAGATGCAGGTCTTTAACATATAGCTCTGTCTAGTTGCAAAATTTCAGCTCGATTGGACGAAAAATACCCGATCATAGACGATAATGACGTGGAGCCGATTTTTCTCTCTCACCGGCTAAGTAATAGTAAAATAATATATACCTTATCTGAACTACATATAATGAATAGTTGATGGGTTGTTCAGTAAAACTCATAAATCCCTATTAAAAACATTTTTTTTTTCAAATAAAGATGGAAAAAGATGACAAAGCTATAAGTTCTTATAGGTAACCAAAACTGATTGTTAGTATTTGGTCTCAAAATGAGGAAAAACTCGAAATTGAACCCAAAAATTGGAAAAATACATCAAGCAAACGAAAAAGGAAGTGCCAAAATCTCAGAAAAGAAAACAAGGATCAGTATCCATTATATGGCTAAACAAATATATAGTAGACAGATGAACAGAATATTTCAAGATGCTGCTAAAAGAGGGTCAAATGCTGGAGTAGTTTAGATGATATTAAGGGGACGATGCAGGTTTATTATGGTGTAAACCATTTTATTAGCAAGAAAGATTTCTTCGAAGCGATTGGCAAGTCAGCAGGTCTGGAGGAAGTAATTATCCCTTATCCCAAAAAAATTATAAAAATTTCATCAGAACCTTAACACCCAAAACCCTTTGCCCAATTCCTATCCCTCATCCCTACAATCCTCCTCGAAGATTGAAGAGTTAGTGGCCCAGAGACCTTTTTTAGTATATATCTTGGAGTTCTGGCAATAGCCAGATTCTCCTCTCAAGACATGAGTGTATGTGGCTAAAGCATTCTCGCTCAATCTCCATTGGCGTTAGCACCATTGACGCGGTTGAGAGAGTAGCTTGTAGAGAGCTACTAGCTAGAGAGTAGCCCTCTATAGTTGGAGAGACTAGCCTGGCTTGGAGTTCTTTCCTGATTGCATATAGGTAAGACTGTGTTTTTATGGTTTTAATTCACTTATCATTAAGTTATTTTATATTTTATTGTATATAGTTCTTGATTATTATTTTACTGTTGTTAATTTTATGTTTTCTGTATATATGGTGTGTATCTGTTCATATCTCACTATAATTATTGTCTGTGTGACAGATTATTATATTTCAGAATAAATAAATAAAAATAAAAAAAATTCCTTTTATAACACAATTAAACACCGACATTACTAATCGAATGACCTCATATATATTACTATCCTCTTTTTTTACTTTAAAATTATGTTTATTTATTTAAATATTTTTTTATAATTAATATTTTTCCCTTATAGGATTAATTTAACATTCCTTTTATTTATTTATTTTTATTTGTATTTTTTACCCTTCCTCATCTTTTTTAAAATATATTTTTGGTAAATATGTACATTCTCAAAAGCTCTTTTACACCATACAAAAGAATATTTCTTGCCTTTATTTATTGGTTTTTATGCTTTTTTATCGTTCCCTACTTCCCGAGGCTCTTGAGCTGTTGTATGATTAATTTTTAAATTTATATTTTTATAAAGACTCCATGTTTTTTTTCAGGAATCACTATTTCCTCAGCATATGTTTCTTTTCAATGGAATAACCATTTATTTAATCTTGTTGATACTCCTGGTCATATTGATTTCACTGCTGAAGTTGAACAAACCCTAAATGTTATTGATTCTGCAGTACTTGTTCTTGATGGTTCTGAAGGTATGTTATGAATTTATATAACTTGAATTTTTTAAAACTTAACTACCTTGAAAAAAAAAAATCAATAAAAATAGAAACCAATTAGGGTGAAGGCTGTATTTATGGACAGGGGGCGCAGTGATGGACAGAGGGCCCAGTGATGGACAGATTGGACTTTAAATGTAAATAATAATCTTCCATGTTGATTGATAGGTTCCAGTTTTTTCTAGATTGAAGAACAATGTCCTCTATTGGCAACTATATGAACAAAGTTCCCAAAAGCAAATTTAAAATGTCTATCATTGTTGTTTCTATAGTGCTCGTTAGATCAGTGTGTTTCGAACCTTCCTACTAACAGTTTTACTAAAAATAAGTTGAATATTTATGTTATCTTATCTTTATCATTATCTTCATAGTTAAATAAAGATTTTAGAATTTTTCTGAGGTGTCTCTATTACTGTTACCGACCTCCTGTCCATTACTAGAACAATTGAATTTCGGGGTGTCACATCACTAGTACAAAATGTTGTTTTTTAAAAATATAGATTATAACTGCATAACTGAATATTTTTTTAAATTTTAAAGTGTTAAGTAGAGAAAGGAGACCCTAGATATTCTAACTGTCCAACGGAAAAGTTGATAACTATAATAATTACGGCCGGATAAGCCAAACAAGACAAAAACTTCCTTAGCTATGTCCATTACTGGTGCGCTTACCCTAGCGCCCCTTCAATTTATAAACAATACCAGTCAAATACAATGTTGGATTAGGTATAAGATCTCAAAATAAATACAGATAAAACGAAATGGTTAGTAGCAGTGGAGTTATTAAAATAAAGCAGAAGAAATTGGTGCGGTGCGCATATCACACAACTTTCACTTACCTCTTCTTAGCAGAAATAAGTATTTTTAGACAAAGGGAAGTACCATATGTTTTCATAGCCTTATAATGTATTATATTTATTTTGTTGGACACTTGTCATTTCCTTTTACGACTGTATATTTCAATTATTTATTTGATTATAATAAATTATTAAATATCACGAAATAATTTTAGTCCAACAAGAGTGCCACTGATAAAGAAAGTAGATGTAATTATTTATATTTCATTGTGAGTATTTTTATTTGTTTTAGTACCAGTATATATACCTGTACCACTACAACCCATGAAGGGTCTTGGGTTCAGTACTATTTAGTGAAAGAACTGTTTCTTGGTCAATGTTTGTGCTAGGAACTGATTTGACCGAGATCACACTCAACCGCCTGGTTTTCCCCCTTAATTAATTATTTAATTAAGGGTACCCACTTTATAGAGGCTGGGTGTGCCCCAGGAGGGTCGCCCCATGGCCAATGAAACAGATAAATAAATTTTCTGCCATGAGCCGGGGTTCGACCTGAGATCTTTAGCATTGGAAGCTCAGTACCCTACCACTGAGCTACCCCACTCCCACGACCAGTATATATACAAATTTTATACTGCTGTAATCTATACAATTAAATATTAAATAATACCACCGATAGCATTTAGAAAAACCTAATTTGTATATGTACATAACATTGCCTGAGTCCATATTATATTAAAAGCTCATGCTACATATGGAAGACTGTTCTAATCTTTCGGGTGAGCTCGGGAGCACTGATATTTCTTTGGTTCTTCCATTACAACTATTCTCCTTTACTATATATGATATCTTATTTCTTCTTTAGTTAAATATAAAATTCTTTCATATTGATGTGAAATGATTAATTATTTCAAATAAAAAAATAAAGGTACTTATAAGGAAGAGACATTGAAAATTAGCCTGTTAGAGAAGATCAATGAGAATATAATCTACATTATATTAAAAAATACTTCATTTTACACTGATATAATGAATTTAATCAAAATCGTTAGAGCTGTTTTCGAGAAAATCTTAAAAATGTGTTAAATAGATGATATAAAGTGCCACTGCCAGTTAGCCAATTTTGACAAAAAGTTTGCTTTGATATCCCAGACATTATAATAATAATAATAATAAAAGGCTTAGCGAACCCGAAGGTTCAGTGCTGACACCACTCACTTATTACGCACATCCCTCCACCGTTCGCCATCGAAAACCACTCCCTACAGATCGACTTTACCATAATTTTCCCACCTTCGCTTCGGTCTACCCCTTGGACGTTTACCATTTGGTACAGCAGATATTAACATTTTAGGAATTCTTTCGTTACTAAGCCCAGCAGTTTTACTAGCCCATTTGTTTTACCGTGATGTAATCACCTCAATGATAACCGGATACAGTTCATGCAATTCGGCATTGTGTAACCGTCTGAACTCTCCGGTTAACTTATCCTTCTTTGGTCTGAATATTTTAGGCAATACATTATTTTTAAAAGCTTTAAGACGTTGCTCATCCCTTAATGTTTCGCATCCATAAAGAACTCTAGGTAAAATAATGGTTTTATAGACTATAGTTTTTAAGTTTCGTGAAAAGAGCTACAACTTAGCTAAGTAGTTTTGTCACAGAAAAATAACAGGCATTTCCCGCCTTCAGCCTAACCTTAATCTCCTCTTCAACTCCATTTTTTCTAGTTATTGTAAACCCTAGATACCTAAACTTCTCTACGTCTTCAAACATATTACCTTCTATATCAATATCACCAGCAATATTGCTATTTATGCAGCTAACCATTTATTTTGTGTTATCCATATTTATTTCGAGCTCTAGTTCTTTCCTGGCTTTCATTAGAGTTATTGTATTTAGTTTTATAGTTTTCATGTATTCACTTAACAGGACCACATCAAAGTGTTTTCCCACTCAGATCCAACCCTTTTTCAGTGTGCATTACCTCTCAAATGACATATTGCCAAATTGAACAGGACAGGCAAAAGGGAATCATCCTTATTTAAACCCGAATGAAACTCAAACTTTTCGGATAGATTATTACCAATTCTAACGTTATTGAGTGTTTCCGTCAAGCACATCCTGACTAGATTTACTAATTTTTTTTGGAATCTCCTGCTCGATTAGAATATTATAGTTTCTGGTGGTCAATAGAATCGTAAGCCTTTTTGAAATCGATATACAACTGGTGAACAACACCGTTGTGCTCTAACCTTTTTCTCCAATATTTGCTGTAAAGAAAATATTTGAACAATAGTTGAACAGTTCTGTCTAAATGATTCAACTTTCTCTTTACTCATTTCTTCTATTTACGGTTCAGTACTCTGCTACTCTAAAGGAGGACACAGATCATAATTTCCCGTATTTAAAATACTGTCAAAATAGTTCTTAAACTTATTCAATATGTCTAACGGACTGGTCAGAATATTGTTATTTTCATCCTTAATTCCAGCTGTGACAGGCCCTAAACATTTACGTGATCTGTTTATACCATTGTACATGTCTCTTACTTTATTTCCGATTCTATTAGTTTCTATTTCTATTATTTTTATTTTTAAGATGCTCCCAATATTTGCTGTTAAGAAAATATTTGAGCGATAGTCGAACGGTTCTGTCCACACATTGCTTTAGTTTATCAAAGAAATTGTACTTAATTCAATTCTTTTTTTTTTGTTTCTCAATGGACATATTTAAAGATATAAAAACTTTTCCTAAAAAATAGGAAAGACGTGTGAGTGGACACAGCAGATTCTTTATTTTTGAGCAACTTAGTCGTTTCATTCTTTGAGGCTTGGAAGTATTGGAGATTGTCTTCGCTAGGATTATTTAGAGCTTTTAATTTAGCGCCTTTCTTTTCCGCATATGTTTAAGCAATCTTCATCAAACCACAATCTGTTATTCTTTTGTTTTTTCCAAGACACAAGTTACCAACCGCTTTAATATTATCCCTGATCTCTACCCATAACTTGTCTATATCATCGTGGTCGTCCTCGTCAGAAGATTCTAAATCTTCAAACCTATTCTTAACATCTAGCTCATATTAACTTCTAATTGATATCATTTTTCATTTTTCCAAATTAAAATTCTCGAAATCGAAAGTTTTCTTTTCCCTTTTTTATATTAATTTTTTTCCGAAGTTCACGATTACTAATTCTTTTTTTTTTTAACTTGTTTATTGAAAATATTACAATCTGTCTCAAAGGACATTTATAATAGTGCTCAGAGATCACATTCACACTCTACATACAATAAATAAAATAAATTATACAGAAAAATAATATATATACAGTAAATAAATATAAAATAACATTTTTATATTTTTAAAGCGGCACGAGTGCTCTGTGGCCATGTAGGCCTATTGTACGCCTTAATTAAAGTCACTCTTGTTTAGAGTGTAATTCCTGCAGTCTCAATGAACTGTAGTAAGCTTGTTGGATTGATAAACTCGTTTGCCTTGGGATCAGTCACCCTATCAATGCCAAATAATTGGAATCTTAGTCCAGCAAACCTGTCGCACCAAAAAGTAATATGATAAGCTGTCTCATCCTCCCGGCCACAATACCTACAAAGAGACGACTCTGTGAGCCGGAGTTTGAACATGTGATAATTCAGTTTACAGTGCCCTGTATATGCCGCTGTAATTTTCTTAAGTGAGCTCCTGCTCAGATTAATTAGTAAGTTACTTCTTTTTTGACAGATTCCTTCCAGAAACAGTCTAGAGTGAGTCTGGTTTTTCAAGCACCAGTTCTTTTTAGTTTCAGCACCATACATCTCCCCAACTCTGTTTGTTATTAGACACTGACTAATTCCAGAGATGGGTTCTGGAGCTATAGGTATCATTTGTGAGCCTAGTCTAGCTAGTTCATCCGCCATCTCATTACCATGTATTCCAGAGTAAACCGGAACCCATTCAATGTTTACCTTATTATTATTATTAGCGTGGCTCTACAATCCACTGTCGAATCCTGGCCTTCTCCAGCAGCTTCCGCCAATTGTCTCGGTCCCCTGCGTCCACCATCAAAATCCAAAGCCCCAGCATATTTTTTTTCGCATCAGCAGCAACACCATCAGCCCATCGCAGCTTTGGTCTTCCTCTTTTCCTGGTACCATGGAGTAGCTCCATCAGTAATTGTATTG